AATATAGATGGTTGTACATGAAAAAAATAAAACATCCCCTGAAAATAAGCCCTAATGTGTAGCAAAAAATTAATATAAGACCCTGTCTTATTTTCAGGGAAACACAGTAACATAAAGGCAGGTTTGCTGGGGGGGGGAGGGGGAGTCTGTTGCCTAAAACAGGAACTATAATGCATAAAAACACCTTGATGTATAGAAGCAAGTCGTCTGCAGTTTGCCATAAACCAAAGTAAGTTAAGAAAGGCACAAAATAAAAGAGGGTCTTAAAGATTAACACGTTTGACATAACCTTTCAATTACTATTTACGGCTACACAGCTGCCTGTATCCTCTTTCTTCAAATGCACAGAGTATAGCCTTAAAAGACAGAAATACATACAACATGGAGAGTGTAATGGTAAAATTGATTTATAGGACTAGCAAGATGGTGGGCATTGCCAGCGATTGTTGACAGTTGTTAACAATCCTGGGAGAAGTGATAGGTGCAAATTTTAATGATAATCATTAAGAGTTTGTTAGACTAAAAGATATAATACTTATTGTTTTTAGCTGATGGGGCCTTCAGATAAACTTTTAGTGATTACCAATATATCTATCACCCTTCAGGAATACTAATACTGTACTTTTAACCACTGACAAGAGAATCATTTGCTGGACAGGGCACACCCATCACCCTTTTCCCCATGTTTGCCTGTCTGATATCAAGTGATGATACATGCCATGCATTTGAACAAATGGAATACTGTCCATAAAAACATGTCTGATGAAACTTGCTAATGCTTAAGGTGCCATGCAACTTTTTATTTCCTAATTTATTAATTTTGCTGGAACAGATTAACGTGGCTTCTCTTTTGGGAGTACTGTGCTGCAATGTGCTGTGCTAAGTACTCAATTGTGGTGTCTATTATTCATGGACAAATTTTAGACTGTAACAGCTTGTTCTGGGCAGGGCTAGGCTATGCCGAAATTCATTCAAATCTGCATGGCATTGGGTTATGAATGTACAAACGTGTCCTAAGCCTGCATATATATTTTTTTCTTCTTCTTTTAAATAAAGTATAAAGATAATAGAACTAAAATTTAGTGTTTGCTGTTTTCAGACTCATGCTGCAGGTGGCACTAACAATCCATGTTTGGACTTCAAATGATCTTCGACATACCCTGTTCAATTCCATAAACCTACCAGCTCTTTATTTCCTAATTAATTTTGCTGGAACAGATTAACATGGCTTCTCTTTTGGGAGTACTGTACTGCAATGTGCTGTGCTAAGTACTCAATTGTGGTGTCTCTCTTATTCATGGATAAATTTTAGACTGTAACAGCTTGTTCTGTGCAGGGCTGGGCTATGCTGAAATGCATTCAAATCTGCATGGCATTGGGTTATGAATGTACAAACGTGTCCTAAGCCTGAATATAATTTTTTTCCTTCTTCTTTTAAATAAAGTATAAAGATAATAGAACTAAAATTTAGTGTTTGCTGTTTTCAGACTCATGCTGCAGGTGGCACTAACAATCCATGTTTGGACTTCAAATGATCTTCGACATACCCTGTTCAATTCCATAAACCTACCAGCTAAAGTCAAGTGTTTTAAGACAGCACATTAACCACATCTCTTCATATCAATTTTCATCTACACCCAGGATACCAAAAGGATCAGTAGATTGTTTTGTGTGTGTGTTTTGTTTATAATAACCATCACGTGCTGTCAAGTGAATTCTGACTTATAGTGACTCTTTTCGGGGTTTTCCAGGCAGACAATGCTGAGAAGTGGTTTACTATTCCATTCTTCTGGGGGCACTCTGGGACTGTGCAGCTTGCCCAAAGCCACACGGGGTGGCTCTTCTTGTAGGAGGCACAGTAAGGATTCTAAACCACTAACTCCGCAGCCAGATACCTAAACCATTGAGGGGAAAAATGACCTAATGAACAAGACCCACTGCCTGTTTCTACCTGATACTATAGTTTAATTCAATGATGATTATATTAACAACTATAATTAACCACATTTCTTCATATTGTTCATCTACACCCAGGACACCAAAAGGATCAGTAGATTGTTTTGTGTGTGTGTTTTGTTTATAATAACCATCACGTGCTGTCAAGTGAATTCTGACTTATAGTGACTCTTTTCAGGGTTTTCCAGGCAGATAATGCTCAGAAGTGGTTTACTATTCCATTCTTCTGGGGGCACTCTGGGATTGTGCAGCTTGCCCAAAGCCACACAGGGTGGCTCTTCTTGTAGGAGGCACAGTAAGGATTCAAACTCTAAACCACTAACTCTGCAGCCAGATACCTAAACCACTGAGGGGGAAAAATGACCTAATGAACAAGACCCACTGCCTGTTTCTACCTGATACTATAGTTTAATTCAATGATGATTATATTAACAACTATTGTCCAGTCGCTAATATCCCCTTTATTGGCAAGCTGGTGAAGAGAATGGTGGCTGATCAGCTTCAAGCTCTCCTGGAGGAGACCAATGTCCTTGATCCGTTCCAGTCTGGGTCCAGGCCACATCATGGCATGGAGACAGCATTGGTCGCCCTGTAAGAAGATCTCTTGAGGGAGGTCAACAGGGGCAAAACATCCTTGTTGGTCCTCCTTCACCTTTCAGCGGTCTTTGATACTATCGACCACGGTATCCTCCTGGGGAGGCTCTCAGGGTTGGGGATTGGTGGTCAGGTTTTGGCCTGGCTCCAATCCTTCCTGGAGGACCATCTTCAGAGAATTCAGCTTGGGGAGATGTTGTCCGCTCTGTGGATTCTCAATTGTGGAGTCCTGCAGGGGTCAATTATCTTCCCAATGCTACTTAACATCTATATGAGGCTGCTGGGGGAGGTCATCAGGAGTTTTGGAGCTTTGTGTCACCAATATGCGGATGACACTCAGCTCTATCTCTCCTTCCATCCTTCTGTCCCTTCAACGCTGCCGGGATGGATGAGGGACAACAGTCAGGCTGAACCAGGACAAGACAGAAATCCTGTGGGTGAGGGCCCCTAGTGTCTGTGGTCTGGGTACCTCCCTGTCTTTTGGGGAGGGGCACTCCACAAAGGATACAATAGTGCCCGATAATACAACTCTGTCATACTGCCATGTTCCATGTTTTTATATTTTTCTATGCTTTTAATTGTGTTTATTGTATTGTAATTCTATCTTCACCACACTTTATAACTTTTTATTTTTGCCCCTATGTATTGATATAGTTATTGCTATTTTTTTTTACTTTGTTGTTTTGTTTTATTTTTTGTAAACCACTCAGAGTAGCCTTGGCTGCCAGTTGGGCGGTATATAAAATAAATAAATATTTAATTGAGTTAACAGAAGTGGACTCCCCTCTTCTATGCAACCTCTCCAGCCCCTTGAAAATGTTATGTGGTGGGAATCTACTGAAAAGCAGAGGCTCTGGTCTTGAGGAAATGGAGGGTCTCCTGAAACTGGAGGGGACAGCAGCTATAATTGGTACGTCTCTCCCCAAAGAAAACACCACTCAGCTTAGAGGGCTGTTTCCCCATCCGTGTCAGTTCCTGTACCACAGCCTACCTCTTCAGGGAGCCACACCTCAATCTAGCAATTTCAGAGATCGCCATGGAGAAAAAATTGAGGGGAAGTCTGTTTCTCCCACCTCATTTAACATGATTAAAATTAAAATAGATTATGAAGAGCTACTAAAGGATCTGGGGGGGAATGAACTTTAAAGTGAATGAGATGCAATATAAACAATAATAAAATTATGCATAAAATAATTGTTATATATGTGTAAACGGTATCTGAGCTGACAGCAGCTGACTAGGAATTGGATCTTGGAGCTGCATTGAACAGCTGGATGAAAATTTTGACTTGGTGGCTTTATTCCTGTAGTAAGTTGCAACTAGAGATGGGGGTATTCGTATTTGTGAATTATGAGTGGTCGGTCTGGCCCCAGGGGGCCAAACCTTAGTTATTTGCACCTGTGGGGGGGATATTTGTATACAAATACTGTACCCCTATTTCTAGTTGCAAGTAAAGTAGACCCACTGAATCAACGGAATTTATGGAGAGGTTGACTCACCAAATCACTGATTTAATGGGCCTGCTCTAATTGTGACTTACTGGATTTCAGCCACGATATAATCTAGAGGTAGGCACTGTTTACCTGGACTGAGGCTTTTAAACATTTTATACAATTTGAGCAGTGAATGCCTACATTTATTTAGAATGTATTTATTTAATCCTTCAGTGAAAAATCAGGTGAGAAGGACAGATAGAATTAGGTGTCAACAGCAAACTATGGCACTGAACCCCCAAACTCCAGACAAACTCTCTCAGCAGTTTCATGTAGATGCTGAGTAACACGGAGGAGAGAACTGAACTGGGGATCACCACAGGCTAATGGCCAGGATGTCAAACAGGATTTCTCCAATACCAACTTCTGAGTATGACCAGCCCGGAAGGACTGAAATCACTGTAAGACAGTACCTCCACGACCCATTCCAGAAAGGCATCCCAAAATGATACCATGATTGATGGTATCAAAAACCACTGAAAGATCAAGTCAAATCCCACTGTCCAGTTCCTGGTGTAGGTCATCTGCAATGGCGGCCAAAGCCATTTCTGTTTCATAACCAGGCCTGAAGGCAGAAGAAAATGGATCTAAATAATGCACTTCATCTAGGAGCCTCTGGAACTGGGATGCTCCCATACACTCCAAAACCTTCCGCAGAATGGAATATTGGAGACTGGCCAATAATTATCTAATACAGTGGGATTCTAGGAGGGTTTTTAGGCTTGTTGATACCCTGTCTTGCTGCAAGGAGGGATTCAGCCTCCTAACCTTAACCCACTCAGCCAGTTCCCCTCTGGCTGCTTTTATAAGCCTGGAAGGGCAAGGATCCAGCATGCATGTGAAAAGGAGGCAGGCAGGAGTGAGAAGGTGGGAGGCAGCATTGTACTTCTCTTGCCCTTATGGACAAACTTCTATTGTACACCATGCTCCCCCAAGTGTGCTTGATCTGGTCAGAGTTTTGATTCTGATGATTTCAGCAGAATATTTCCTTGTCTGTATACAGAGGTAAACAGCCTGAGCCCCAATATGCAATGGGCCTTCCACTGACGGACAGCACTCCATGTATCACCTCTTGGGTTTCAGAAGCCCTCATCCAACGAAAGATCTGGCAAACCTATGCAAAAACAGTGCAAATTTCTGTGAAAGCTGTCAAGGCTTTAATTCAATTTTTTTTTTTAAAAAAAAAAGTTTTTTACTTTGGTTTTTTTATCCTTTTAAAAATTGTCCTTTAGAAACAGCCACTTTTGTCTTTTATTTTTTGAATGCTTATAATGGGGTGACTTGGCAACTAAGCAGTTTTTTTAAAGTATTCTTTCATCATATACAAGTTGTCGTTATGTGGCGTCAAGTCACTTCTGACTTATAGCAACGCTATGAATAAGTGATCTCCAAAATGTCTTGTCCTCAACAGCCCTGCTCAGCTCTTGCACACGCAAGCCTGTGACTTCCTTAAAGGAAGCCAATCCATCTCATATTGGGTCTTCCTCTTTTCCTGCTGCCTTCAACCTTTCCCAGCATTATTCCTTTTCCAGGGAATCCTGTCTATATGTCCAAAGTAGGACAGCCCTAGTTTCAATATTTTTGCCTCCACATATAGTTCAGGTTTGACTGGTCCTAGGAGCCACTCCTTGGTCTTTCTGGCAGTCCAAAGTATCTATAAAGCTGGCAGCATATTTCAAACAAATCAATGTTTCTCCTGTCAACTTTCACTACTTCCAGTTTTCACATTCATACATGAACACTGAAAATATGATTGTGGGGATGATCTTGGTCCTGGTCTCCAGTAATATGTCCTCATATGCAATTATCCTTTTTATTTCATTCATTGCTGCTCTTCCAAGTCTCGGTCCTTTTCAAATTTCTTGGCTACAGTCTCCATTTGGATTGAGGATTATTTATTTCAAATATTTTTACTCAACCTTACGGATTATTTATTTTATTTCAAATATTTTTACTCAACCTTACTCCTTAAGAAGGACCCAAAGCGGCTTACATACCAAAGGCAATATGTAAAAGCTAAAAACAGGAGGCACACAAATATTTAAGAAGAATTAAACAAATACCACATTAAAAGGGTAAATAAAAGTAAAAATAAGTTCAAAGCAACAATTGATTTATTAAAAATATTTTCCCCTGCTTTTGTCCTTAAAAATGAACCAAGGCAGCTTGGCAAAACAAGGCATAAAATTCCATTTTAAACCCCTCTCAGATAGCCAATCCAAAGGAAAAGCCTGTCTGAAGAGAAAGGTCTTTGTCTACTTGCAGAAGGATAGCAAAGAAGGGCCAGGTCTAGAGGTTGGGTGCGGTAACAGAGAAGACTGTCTCCCATGTCCCCACCAAACATACTTTTGAAGGTGTTGGTACCAACAGAAAGGCCTCCTCTGGTGATCTTAATACGCAAGCAGGCTTATAAAGGGAGACATGAATCCTCAAGAGAGGATTGGACTCAAGTTGTTTACAGCTTTATAAGCCAAAACCAGCACTTTGAATTGGGCCAACTGAGCTGCTGTAACAGAGGGGTTATGTAATCCCTGTAACCACCTCCAATTAATAATGCCTGCAGCATTTTGGACCCGCTGAAGTTTCCGAATACAGTACTTTCCAAAAGCAGCCCCGCATAGAGCATGTTACAGTAATCCACCTGAGATATAACAAAGGCACGTGGCCAGATGAGACTTCTCCAAGAATAAGCACAGCTGGCGCAGTAGTTTTAACTATGCAAATACATTCCTGATCACCACTTCCAGACTCAGAGATTATTCAAATCTGTTCCTTATGTGGAGTTTCAAATTATCAGGAAGGTTGTTTGAATTATAGTTTGGCACTATGATTCTTTTAGTGTTCTTTTTCAGCTTTACTCTAATGTTGGATATTAACAATTCATAATCAGTACCACAACCCGTACTGATTTTGTGGTAAAGTTTTCATGGCAAGGAATGTTCAGCAGGGGCTTATCATTGCCACCTTCAGTGAAATACTAGCAAAACTTAGTCTGAGTGTCACCATTAATGCCTACCCTGCCAGCATCACTTCCAGCTACCTCTGTTGCCCAGTAGCTGCCTTGAAGAGGGTAGATAAATCTTAATCTATGCCAGTCCTTTGAGTCCTATCTATGAGTCCTCAGCAGGGGCTCCTTCATTTTCTCCTTCTCTGGAACTGGCCCTGGTTGGCCAGAGCTTGCACTTTCGGTTGCCGTTCTTGGTGTTCGTGGGGGATTTCTTTTCCTGTCCTTCGTCTGCCTGTCTGAAGCTCATTGCCTATAAGAACATCCTGGATCACTCCTTCAGCCACACCATGCAGCTCCTCCACACCTGGGGAGGAAGAACGGGAAAAGAATTCCCCCAGGAATACCCCAATTGTGCACACTCCAGATGCAGTGAACTACAATTCCCATCTCCCCAGTTAACACTCAGCGTAGTCAAGGAGGCATACTTATATGGGGGAATTGTAGCTTTAACACATACAGAGGCAACAGACAGAAATGGGCTAGAGTGATGCAAGCAATACTGAGCTATGTATTGCCAATGACTTGACATGGTGGACAATTGCTGGATAGCTTAGTGGTTAAAGCATCTGGTTGGGAGCTTGATTCCCCACTGCACCTCCTTAATGGGGGCTGGACTTGATGATCCATAGGGTCCCTTCCAGCTCTGCAGTTCTAAAATGACAAAAGTTTATATAAACAATATCAGATGTACTTACACACGATGGTGGCCAGCAGTCCTGAACTGGTGCAGAGGCCCCTTCTTTGGGGGCTTTGTCTCCACTTTGCAGAGTCCAGACTGTGCACCACAGGGGGGTGGAGAAGCAGAATATATGCTGACGGTATACATGTGACAGGTGTTGATTATTTACCTTTTTAAGTGTGGTATTTGTTTGATTTGTTTTAGCTTTTAACGATTGCCTTTTAACGATGTTAAGTCACCTTTGGTCCGTTTTAAGAAGAAAGGCGGGATCAGAATGGTTTAAAGAAATAAATCTCTCGGGGGCAGAAGCTTGCAGCCTCTTTGTCAGCAAACTTCCCCCGGGGTGTTGACGCTGGTGAAGAAGGAAGAGGCGAGGGACACAGTGTTGGGGGCGGGAGCTCTGCATTTAAGGACTTCCACTCCCATAATCCAGCGAGAAAATGGCTCAGGCTGAACTCTTGTAGTTGTGAAAGCTCTCCAATCGGTAAGAAGCTCGAGCAGTCAGTCCTCTCCCCTCCCTGCTATCCCTACACCAGCGGGCAGGAAGGAAAGCCTCCCCCGGGCCTGGCACGACCATTCCCTGCGACGCGGAAAGGGACGGGGGGGGGTCAGCCATCTGCCCCGGGGCACTTTTCCTTTCGAGGGCAAGGCACGCTCAGAAAAAAAAAATTCGTGTGGGCGGGATTCGACCCCTGGGCGGAAGCGGCGGCGGATGCCAGCCCGAGCGGTGCTGCTGCGCGGAGCGACCGGATTGCGCTCAGCAGTCTTTTTCGCAGAAGCCTCGTAGCTCGGAGCCGGCTTACTCGGCGGTGAATCGCCCTGGCTGGAATGGGACTTTGACACAGAACTGCCGCTGTAATAACCCGCCCTCTCTACAGGGAAGTAAGTCACGGCGTTTCCGTTCCATTTAAAGCCGTTTTGTATTTAGGGAGACGGGGCGCCCTGGGCACGCCTGACTCGGGAGGGTAGGCGGCGGCTCGGGACCACCTCCGCCGAAATCTTGGCTTAAAAAGCCTCCTCCTTCCCCCCCCTCCCCGCGCGGTGTTGAACACGGAGGGACTTCCCGGTGACCGTGCAGGCGATCTTGTTGTCTGTGATGCTGTTATGAATCGGTGAGCCCTCGCCAGCTTCATTCTCTCAATCCTGCGTTAGGGACGGAGGACGTTGCAGGCGCCCGGGCGCTGCGCTACGGATGGAGCCCCGCGGGCGAGCCCTTAGCAGATCCTGCATCACCTCCGAGTAAACCTGGGCGGGAGGCAAGAAGTTGCCAGTTAGCAAATTTCGAACCAGTGAGACACCCTCGAGTTAGGGAACCCAGCTTTGCTTTCCACTATTACTCTTGTGTTTACTTCAGTATTCAAAGCGAAGACTGATAGCTGGGGTTTTTGTTTCGCATAGTTTACGTGACATAATTTGTTTCATCTTTTGTCTGACAGTATTCCAGCCTAAGCAGAGAAATGCATAGAGATATAATGTGGCCTGGTCATTATTTTTCTGTTCCACCCTTCTTCAGCGGACCTTCAAGCAGGAAGCTCCTGTTCCCTTGAGGTTCTAGGCAATCTCCTGTTTAGGTTCCACCTGGATCTGGGCTGGATTAGATTTGGTCAGGTTGCTGCATCTTGAGTTCTCAGCCCAGATCATCCACACAGTTGTGTTTTTTCTTTAAGCCCCAAACCTTGTCTCATAGTAAAGACTAATTGCTATACAGTGGTGCCTCGCCAGACAGTTACCCCGCATGACTGTTTTTTTGCTAGACACTGACTTTTTGCGATCACTGTAGCAATTCGCAAAACAGTAATTCCTATGGGGGAATTTCGCTGGACAATGCTTGGTCCCTGCTTCGCAAACCATTTTTCGCTAGACAACGATTTTGACAGCTTCCTCCGTGCTCGCAAAACGGGTGTTTTCGGGACCTAAACTTCGCGAGACAGCTATTTAAACAGCTGATTGGCAGTTCGCAAAGCGGCTTTCCTATGGCTGATCTTCGCTAGACAAAGACGATTCTTTCCCATTGGGAAGCATTAAACAGGTTTCAATGCATTTCAATGGGGAAATGCTTTTTGCTAGATGATGATTTTGCTAAACAGCTATTTCAGTGGAACGGCATATCATCATCTAGCGAGGCACCACTGTATTTAATGTGAGCTTTTGTGGATCAAGTCTACTTTCTCAGACAGAAGAGTCTGATCTTTCAGGCTGAAATTCATGGAAAAATAAATGCACAAAAGATTATGTTTGCTGAAGAAACCTTAGAGACTTGTTTGGATGCAGAACAACATCATTTTTAATGCTACTGCATTCAAAGGGAGGATATCCATGATGTCATCTACTCTCTATAGGGGAGGAAGTCCCCACCAGAGTATACCCACTGAGTCTGTAGGGTTTGCATAAGTGTCAATTTATCATACGGTGGATCTGCTGTGGATCATCTAACTGTCTTTAAATAGACTGTCAATTAAATCAGAATATTTGTATTTGAGCTTTCAGTTCTGTTTGTGAATCCAGTTACCTCAGAAACAAACAGCACCGAGCAGCTCATATGTCAAAACATAATTACTTTCAAATACAATGAAAATTATAAATCCATAAAGAGCCTTATGTGCTAGACAGGGCTCTGATTCTGCCTCACTCTTCATTTTATTGCTCTTTGAGTAACTTCCTTGAATTTTTCTCAGTTCCCTATACACATGTTGAAATAGCAGCTGCACTTCCCCCCCATGTTGTTACCAAAACAGTTAGCAATTTTCATGAGCTATCCTAAAAGCAAATATTTATTTCCTGTTATGCAGAGACCCAAGCTGAGTTTTAAGTGACTGCCCAAACTCTAACAGTTCTGGCAGATGTTACTTTAAATGGTTTCACAGCCTGTTTAATTGTAGCAAGCTTTGAAAAACCTCCAGATGTTGATTAACAATTTTATAATACTAGGTTTTAGAACACAGAATCCAGCACAGAATTAGTCTTGTTGAAACCTGTTGATTTGACCAAGATGCTCTAAATCAGAAACATGACTAATTGCCTGGTCATTTTAAATTCAGTATGCCTGTATTTTGAGCAGTATTGATACAGAGGACTTATCCATCAATAAATGTGATATTTGCTCCTCTTGAAGCAAATCGCATAGCACATGTGAGAATAAGCAAATGCAGTGTGCTTACATGTTTATTTCGCCTTTATAGATACACCATAAATAAAAATGAAATCTATAACCCAATGCTGTTTGTTGGCTGGATGCATCTGCCTTGCTGTTCTGTGTGGAACTGCTACATATGCATTGACCTCCAGGTAAGTCATTTGTAAAAACTTTTAGTACTTATTTCTTCTCATGATTAGTGGATAGAAAAAAAGGCAAAACGTTTATTATGGATTTTTCTGCAAATATTGGAATACCTGCTGCATACGTTGAAGAAACAAATTATATTTTGTACTGAAAAGTGGTTTGTGTCTTCAGCCATCAGAGATGTTGCAGTAGGAATTTCAAAACTTCCATGTTTGCTTGGTTCCCTTAGCTGCTTTGGCTCATGCTCTTGACATCCTTGATTGATTAATGTACAGTATATATAAACATTTATGATTTAAAACAGTATTACTCTGCTCATCTCTCTTTTGTTCTGTATTGTCTGGTTTTATATTGCTCAGACTGTAAGCCACCCAGAGTGGATTGATTTGGAATCTAGGTGGGTGGGGTAAAAGCCAAATGAATGAATGAATGAATGAATGAATGAATGAATGAATGAATGAATGAATGAATGAATAAATGAATGAATGAATAAATGAATAAATAAATAAATAAATAAATAAATAAATAAATAAATAAATAAATAAATAAATAAATATTCTAAAGTTATCTGAAGTACTATGAAATTCAAAACAACAGTATAATAAAAAAACAGGCAGAGTACAACAAGCATTTGTTAAACACATGTGCAGTCTTTGTCATATTGTTGAATGATTGCAGTCAGAAAAGGTTGCCCATCTAATTTACTTTTTGTAGGAATGAAACAAACCGCACAAACTCTTAGGAAATGACTGTAAGTTCTCTGTACAAGGAAATATTAGCAGTTATATTGCAAGTATTAAGTTTGTGAAGTTTAAGAATTTGAGACACTGATTATTCAGTGGTGCTGTTCTGTTTTTTTGAACATACTGAATATACCATATAAATTTTTATGTTTTATCAGCGATCACCCTCATAAGTGGGAAAAGTTATACTTGGTTCTTGAATGGCCAGTGACTATATGTAAGGTGAGTTGTCGTTAAAACAATATATTTATTCAAATTTATGCTTTGATGTTTTTCCTCTCTGTTGTTGTTTAGTCGTTAAGTCGCATCCCACTCTTCGTGACCCCATGGACCAGAGCACACCAGGCCCTCCCGTCTTCCACTGCCTCCTGGTGTTTGGTCAAATTCATGTTGGTAACGTTGGTGACACTGTCCAACCATCTCGTCCTCTGTCGCCCCCTTCTCCTTTTGCCTCCATACTTTCCCAACATCAGGGTCTTTTCCAAGGAGTCTTATCTTCTCATGAGATGGCCAAAGTATTGGAGCCTCAGTTTCAGGATCTGTCAGGATCTGTCCTTCTAGTGAGCACTCAGGGTTGATTTCCTTCAAAATGGATAGGTTTGTTCTCTTTATCAATTCAAGGACTCTCAAATATTTCCTCCAGCACCACAATTCAAAAGCATCAATTCTTTGCCAGTCAGCTTTCTTTATGGTCCAGCTCTCACTTCCATACATCACTACTGGAAAAACCATAGCTTTGACTACGTGGGAATTTGTTGGCAAGGTGATGTCTCTGCTTTTTAAGGTGCTGTCTAGGTTTGTCATTGCTTTCCTCCCAAGAAGCAAGCGTCTTTTAATTTTGTGGCTGCTGTCTCTATCTGCAGTGATCATGGAGCCCACGAAAGTAAAATCTGTCACTGCTTCCATATCTTCCCCTTCTATTTGCCAGGAGGTGATGGGACCAGTGGCCATGATCTTAGTTTTTTTGCTGTTGAGCATCAGACTTTTTTGCGCTGTCCTCTTTCACCCTCATTAAGAGGTTCTTTAATTCCTCCTCACATTCTGCCATCAGAGTGGTATCATCTGCATATCGGAGGTTGTTGATGTTTCTTCCGGCAATCTTAATTCCAGCTTGGGATTCCTCCAGTCTGGCCTTTCGCATGATGTATTCTGCATATAAGTTAAAGT